TGTCTGTTTCCGAAATCTAACTAGGTGCGAGATTGAAACTAACCAGTAAACGTACAAAACCTGGTATAAAACGAAGGATTTAGATTCAAAACTCGCCTTCTTTCTTATTGAGCATCCTATCAACACATCCACTGACGTAAAGCTCCGTGAAGTCCGCGTGTAGACCGCATAACCACCCGGTTGAGTATCGTGAAAACAGCCAAACCTATAAAGTGGGTACTGAACAGGTACAAGATAATTACAAACGAAATTACATATTACACAATGCGGGCGTTTTAGTAGACAAACGGAAGTAAAACTAGTTTCCACATGTCGGGCAACTATGCCATGTCTTGCCTGCTTGTCTGGCCCTCTCAAAGAATAGGAAAGTGGAGTAAAGAACTTGAAAGTACGTGGCAGGATACTGCATGACACATTGAACGCCAAACCCGGCTTCCATTCCGTGTTTGAATGGACTTCAATGCACGCCTTCTAGACCGGACTATCATGGATAATTGCTGGTATACAGGTTTTTTCAAGTCAAAAATTCAGGGTTTATTGATGTACATTTTCAAGGCATGAAGTAAGCTATGTTCAGTTCCGCTCAAATTAGTGTGTTAATGTAGATCATTCTTATTTTCCATAGTAATCAATAATCTTTTCGGGGCGTTTCCAGTGACCAACCGCACGATTCCGAATGCGAATTTTTTTTTCGAATGGCGATGCATAATTATAATCCACTTCAGCTTTCCACTGGCATGCTTGGCTAGGCGTCAAATAGTGTAACAGATGTGAACATTAATTATCACGCGGTCTTTGGCACATAGCAGATGGCAAGAAATATGTGTGGGAGGGGAAGAGGAGGTGAGGAAGGGTGGGAATCGTGAAAACGAACGTAAGGATAAAGAAGTGACAACCCTCAAAGTATTCCAGCTTTTGTAAAGAAAGAGAATAACCTTCAGAAAAAAATGCCGATGAGCCTCCCACTGAAAATTTATGGGTTCATGGGAGCAATCCTCAGCATGCGGTGAATAGTAGGAAGACTAGTGAGAAACTCAGAATAAGAAATGCTTTTTCCCACGAGAGAAATGTAGACTGAATTCAAAAATAAGACTAGAAGCCCAGGGAATACTAAATGGCTGAGGAGCACGAAAATCGGTACGGGATCGGCATCTTAGTGTAACGGCACAAAGGCGTTAGAGCTTCATATTACTGGAAATTATCTCATTTCTTATGTAAGCTATTTCCTGAAGTATAAGATGCACCAATGTATAATTCGCACCTTCAGTTCAAACACCGCTAATATTTCTCTCTCACTTTACTTTGCGCTCTTTTTTTTCGTTCTTCCTTTTCCATTTTAATGATTTTTATGCAACAAGTGGTATTTGGCCTCCAGAATGGAAGAAGAAGGCTAAAAGCTATGAGGAAAAGACAGGGAAACTTCTGCGTGCTACCGTGCTGTCGCGCGCGACTCTGCGAGGTGCGCCTTATACTCCGGATAAAAGGACAATTAAAAAGAATGGAAGTATAGGGCCGATGATTCTATTAATAAGCACTTAACAGCACTCAGCGCGGTATTAAATGATGCAATAGAGTGCCACAAGGGTGTACATTCTTTAAACAGAGCACTGGCTAGAAAGCTAAAGGCTCACCTCATTTGGTTTATTTGGCCTCGGACAACTACATCGCTTCTTGCCTTTAACGCAGTGACAAGGATGTTCAATATCAAGATGACGAACGAGGAACTTTTCAAATGAAGTCCCAGCGGTCTTTTGAATATGAACAAACACCAAGACATCGTTGCCGGCAATCGTAAACCTACAATAAGGACATCGTATTAAACAAACCAAGCGTTGCAATTACAGTATG